AAGGAGCAGTTGGGCTGAGGCTGGTACAGCAGGTTTGTGGTAGCGGCTGCCTGTAGCTCTTGCCTGGAGGCTACTGAACATTCCAAATACCTTTGTGTGTTCTTGGATCTCGAAGGGATCAGGCAGATCCGACTCTCAAAGCACGCCCTCCAAAAGAAACGGAAAAGGCCTTTGTTGGAGCATGTCCATCCTGGTCGGTCCCACAGTCAGGAATTGCCTCCAACCCAGCGAAACACCGGGTTTGGTCTTAAATCTGTCCCGTCTGAGGCGGCTCTGATTCAGTCGTGTGTTTATGAGTACCGGGCTGCATTGGAGCCTGGAGATGGGCTGGTTCCTTTCCGTCCTTTCCAGAGATCCACCATCTTGTGCGTGTCTGGATCCTTCCCTTGAGTTTGATCTGAGAGGAGATCGTGACGGAGAGCGGAATGGCGGCCATGAGGGAGATCGTGACGGGAGAGGAAGGGCGGCCGTGAGTTGAGATCTTGAGGGGAGATGGGAAGGGCCATGAGGGGAGATAGTGAGGGGAGAGAAAGGGCGGCCATGAGGGGAGATTGTGACAGAGAGCAGAAGGGCGACCGTGAGGGGAGAAAAGGGCGGCCGTGAGCTGAGATCTTGAGGGAGGTGTGGAAGGGCGGCCATGAGGAAAGAGCAGAAGGGCAGCTATGAGGGGAGATCGTGAGGTGAGAGGAAAGGCAGCCATGAGGGGAGATAGTGAGGGAGAGTGGAAGGGCAACTATGAGGGGAGATTGTGAAGGGAGAGAAGGGCGGCCATGAGTTGAGATCTTGTGGGAGAGCAGAAGGGCGGCCATGAGGGGAGATTGTGAAGGGAGAGAAGGGCGGCCATGAGTTGAGATCTTGTGGGAGAGCAGAAGGGCGGCCATGAGGGGAGATCATGAGGGGAGAGCAAAGGCAGCCATGAGTTGAGATCTTGAGGGAGAGCGCAAGGGCAGCCATGAGGGGGGATCGTGAGGGGAGAGGAAAGACAGTCATGAGGGGAGAGGAAAGGCAGCCATGAGGGGAGATCTTGAGGGAGAGCAGAAGGGCAGCCATGAGGAGAGATTGTGAGGGGAGAGAAGGGCGGCCATGAGTTGAGATCTTGAGGGAGAGCGCAAGGGCAGCCATGAGGGGAGAGCAGAAGGGTGGCCATGATGGAAGATCATGAGGGGAGAGGAAAGGCAGCCATGAGGGGAGATCGTGAGGGAGAGTGGAAGGGCAGCCATGAGGGGGGATCGTGAGGGGAGAGGAAAGATAGTCATGAGGGGAGATTGAGAGGGGAGAGGAAAGGCAGCCATGAGGGGAGATTGTGAGGGAGAGCAGAAGGGTAGCCATGAGGGGAGAGAAGGGCACCGTGAGTTGAGATCTTGAGGGAGAGCAGAAGGGTGGCCATGAGGCGAGATCGTGAGGCGAGTGGAAAGGCAGCCATGAGGGGAGATCATGAGGGAGAGTGGAAGGGCAACCATGAGGGGAGACTGTGAAGGGAGAAAAGGGCAACTGTGACCATGAGTTGAGATCTTGTGGGAGGGCGGAAGGGCGGCCATGAGTTGAAATTGTGAGGGAGACCAGAAGGGCAGCCATGAGGGGAGATTGTGAGGGGAGATCGTGAGGGAGAGCCGAAGGGAGGCCATGAGGGGAGATCATGAAGGGAGAGAAGGGCGGCCATGAGTTGAGATCTTGAGGGAGAGCAGAAGGGAAGCCATGATGGAAGATCATGAGGGGAGAGGAAAGGCAGCCATGAGGGGAGATCATGAGGGAGAGCAGAAGGGCAGCCATGACAGAAGATCGTGACGGAAAGCAGAAGGGCAGCTATGAGGGGAGATCGTGAAGGAAGAGAAGGGCTGCCATGAGTTGAGATCTTAACGGGGAGCAGAAGGGCGGCCATGAGGGGAGATCGTGAGGGGCGACAAGGGGCAGCCTTGACGGGAGAGGAAGGGCAGCCATGAGGGGAGATTGTGAGGGGCGACAGGGTTCAGCCTTGAGGGGATAGGAAGGGCAGCCATGAGGAAAAATCATGAGGAAGAGCAGAAGGGCAGCCATGAGGGGAGATTGTGATGGGAAAGGAGAGGTGGCCGTCAGGGTGAGTGGTGATTGTGAAGAGAGAGCAAGGGCAGCCATAGGATGTGAGGGGAGATCACGAGGGGAGGGCAGGGGCTGCCATGGGGCATGAGTGTAGGTGTAAGGGCGGCAGCTGTACAGTGTGAGCCACAGTGAGGGGCAGATGAAGGTTGGCTGCAAGTGGAGATCATGAGGGGCAGCCATAAGGGGAGACCTTGAGGAGAGAGGAGGCGTCGCTGTGAATGGAAATCGTGATGGGAGATCAGTTTGCCCTGAGTGTGATGGGTTAGTGGTGGCCTTGGCAGTCCTGGGGTAAAGGTTGGACTTGATGATCTTTAAAGGTCTTTTTCAGCCTAGTTGATCCTATGATTCTATGATCTGTGGTATGGCAGCGTAATGTGCTGCAGCTGTGGGGTCCAGGCCAGTTCAATGTACACACAGGAATCTTGAAAATGGATTGGGAATTGTTAGCAGACTGAGAGAAATACAGTGAATGTGAAACTCTGGCAGATGGGGGGATCCCCATTTCCTCCCCTCCTCCTTCTGTCCCGTGCTCACTTGGACCCAGTTACCATCTCTCAAACTAAGTTTGCACCTTCAAGAGAACAGGAGCTGTTAGCGGAAGCCAAATAATATGGGAAGAGTGTGTAAATCCGGAATTGATCCGAGCATGGAGCAATAAGGTATGTGAGAGCTCATCCTGGCTGTGACCATATCCAGGGATCCACAGCTCTTCCAAGTGGGATTACTGAGGGAGGCACTATGTGTCATCCTCCTTTCCTGGTCCTCCTCATCAGAAACAGAGCTTTCGTGCACTGCGTACTCTTGTTTCTTGGTCCAACTTCATTTAAACTCAGATGCCAGTGTGGGAGTGGAAGTGGACTCCAAGACAGCAGCAGGGGAAAGAAGCCTTGAAACGCCCCCTAATTATGAGAGTGGGAGTTTTCTGTGCTGCAAACCAGATTTGATATTCAGAGCTTTAAGTGACTTTTCCTGTTTGAAAGCTTTGTAGTAAACAAAATGTGATTAACAGTCCCTTAGTGACTCATTGCAGGGAAGATTTGGATTTTCACTACGGTGCTTTTCTATCCTATACTTGTTTTAATTATCCCTGCTGAATAATAGAACTTGATTACAGCCTGGCCAAGGTAGGAGGGGAGGTCATCAAGATAGCTGTCCTCTTAATATTCTAGCATTCTTGCACAGAGCCTTTCTCAGTGTCTGTCCAGCCTCTGTGCCAGCAGCAGCACATCCTGTGAGATGCTATCAATATATCCTGTAACTGTAGAAAAGGTTTGAGGGGCAGAGTGAGCTGTGGGTGACTCAAGAGGGGAAGATGAAGCTGTGGCTGTTGACAGCAAGGCTGTCTTGTCTCTGCTGCAGAGTCTCTGCTGGAGAGCCTCTGCTGCTCCAGCCCTTGCAGAGTGATGGAGGAGAGAGTGATGGGATCTGCTGGGTAACTCACTAGAGAGGAAAACTGCAGTGGCTGGTACCCACTATTCTGCTCTTCTGTCACACAAATCCTCTGTGGTATCACTTTGCATCCACTGTGCTTTTCCCTGTGCCTTCCGCACCAGCTGTATTTGGGGTTTGGTGCTGGTGCTGGTAGGGGGTGTCCCTTTCATGAGATGGAGGCTTCCCAAGCCGGGGTATTTCTTCTCATAGTGAAGAGCTTCTTTCTAAGTGGATGTTTCTGGATATTTACTTATAATGTTGGGACAGTTTGGGGCTGGGGATGGATCTTTAACTGGAATTTGGAATTTTCCTGAGTCTCAGACACATTAAACTATGTTTAATGCTCCAAGCAGAGATATATTTTTTTAAACAATTTGGATGAAACCCATAGGCCAGGATGTGCCATAGAGCATCTTCTCCTCTGAGGTCTCAGATTTTAGCATTGAAACATCACTGGTCTCTTATTGAAAACCTTCCCTAGTGCAAACATAAAGAAGCTTCAGGATGCTCATGGTGTATCCAGGAACTGGTCCTTACAGGAGCTCCCTGTATTTTTCTACTGAGGAAGGCAGGAACATTGCAATTAGTAGCAATGTCAGAGGTAGGCAAATACCCCCTAATTGTATGCAGATGATAGAGCTGGTTCAACCTTTTGACTAGTGAAGCTTTCCTCAATTTGGGATATTGTGATCCTAATCAGGGACCTTTCCCATACATCAAAGCTGACAAGCTGAACCCGCATACCTTGGGGCTGGCACGGCTTGATTGCAAGGCTTCCTGCTAGCAGGCTCATCCCTGGCCAGGTGTCTTTCCTGCTGTGGACGACTGATTCCGTTCTACTCTTCATCACCGAGGCAAAGAAATTTAATCCCAATATTACTGCCAGCCCTGGAATGGACCCACTGATTTGGAAATTTCACCCTCTTGTTGCCCTGAAATATCAATTCACAGGAACCTCTGATACCTGCTTATTTCATTGCCAACCTCTAACCTAAGGTGGAGCAGACCTGTCATTAGGGCATTCATCTGTGTTTAGATCTGTCAGCTTCCTTCCCCTTCTGCTCTTTTGTTTCTCTAATTACTTTGATTGCATCGCTGGGTCCAGCTCTGTGAGGCTGCAGGTCCCATCCCTGCCTCTGTCGCTGATTCCTTTTCTATAGGTGGCTTTGGGAGAGGGAGACACCTGGGTCTGGATTTTGAGATTGTGACCATGGCATGTTTAGTTCTGCAGGTGCTTTTTCACTGTTACACAGACATGGCCCAGTGGCAGAGCTTTGTTTTTCTTACTGCTCCTCGATGCTCTGCACCTCCTGCCTGGTACCTGGTGATGCCGGGAGCCAGTGTGGAAGCTTTGCACTTCCCTGCTGTTACCAGCTGTCCCTGTAGTTGAACCAAAGTATTTGGCATCTTGCAATAATACCTTGACATACAAGATAAAGTAAAATATAATATTTGTGACTGTATTTTCTGTCTTTTATTTCTTTTCCCTCCAGGGTCTGATTAAAATCCGAGGAGATCGCTGCTGGTGGGAGTTAACTTGCATGGATTATCACTACGAGGTGAGTGATCTGCACATCGAGGATAAATTCTTTTGTCTGCTTTACTTTGGTAGAAGAATTTGCTCTCCATGTTTTCTTTCTTTATCATAGCCTTCTGTCTCTGGCAGAGCAGCAATGTCTGTGTGCCAGCTAGGTGATGCTGTTTTTCCCACTTGCATTCCTAAATGATCAGCTTCTCTCTTCCCCTCCCCTCACCATCATGGACTGATTCAGGGCAGACCTGAACCTCACTGAGAACTTCCTCTGTTAAAATCCTGCAGGAGAGGAACAGAAAGGAGTTTTCATTGTGTTGAATGCTTTCTGCTTATACTTCCAAAACATGGATGTATGTAGACAGAAATAGAGCATCTCAGTGCTGTCCAAGATGCAGAGCACTAATCGCTGGCAATTCAGAATCATACCATTTTATCTTTTGGACATCTGTTGCAGTGATTACATTGCATTCTAATTAGAAACTGTGGTTTGAGTTCTGGCTCTGAGTGTTGTCTCCTCTGTGATTATGGAGAGCGGAGCTCAGCTTCCCCTCTCTTTTACCTAGATTTTTGCATTTGTGCTTTGTATAAACAGTGTTAAAAAAGAAATTGCTGCGTACAGCAACGCTCCACTGGGCAAGGAGCCCTGGTTTAGTGAAGGAGACATGGTACTGGAGCAGTATTCCCTCCCTTAGATTAATAGTGCAGCCACTGAAACCTGCACACCATGGTATAATGCCTCTGCTCTATAATCTGTCTCAGCCCGGGGCAGTTTCTGGTGCTGGGTTTGTTGGTAAGACCTGAGCTGTCAGTCCCTGGGGATATACCTTCGGGGTGATGTTCTCAGTGGACCTTCATCACGTCTGGAAACCATTTCCCCTTTCCAATTAACCCTGGCAGAGCCTGACTTCCCTGACCTGCAGAACGTGTTCTGAGGTGTTGCCTATGAATGACTGTGCAGGGCAAGCACTGAGCAATGGAAGTGGGGATGCTCGGACAGGACCTCAGTCTTTCCACCTTGTATGCATGGGATTGCATGTGAGTGCCAGGGACTGTGTTACCAGTCCTGTTAGAGGATTGGGATTCCTCTTCCCAAAATAGGAAAGAGATCCATCAATTTCCCAGGCGCTGACACTTTTATTTTTCACTCCTGGTTAAGTGGTTGCTTATTGTGAGATGGAATTTTGCGGGTCCAGAAAGCTGTGTGTTTTCAGCTTTAATGCTCCTTTATTTTTCTGTTATCTTTTACTTGCAATGGGTTTCACTCACTGAATGCCCATTACAGAGGCTGCTCAGTGAGCTCCTGTTGCCCTGTCAGTATCCTGCTTCATTCTGAGTAAAACTTTGGATGCAAAGACCCTTCAGTGCTGTCGCTCTTCATCTCAGACACAGAGGTGGCTGCAGTAAATTGTCCTTCCTTTCTGTCATGCCCTGCCAGGCACCTGGCAGCAGGCTGAGAAAAGCCAGCTCCAAGTGAGCCCCCCAGCACCCCCTGGCAGGCTCCGCTGTGACCCCAGCCCACATCAGTCAGCCTGCATAATTCCAGATAGTTCAAATCAAAACCAGAATCAGTTCTGGAGCCCACAAGGGCTAATTAAGACCATTCCTGTCATATCCATAATGCAGGATCCCCAGCCTGTATGAGTAATTGGGAACAGGGACAGGGGGCAGATCACATTATCAATATAAATTATTTTAATCCACACAAAAGAAGCTGCAATAAGAGGAAAATGAAAGAGGCCAAACTTCATCTCCCAGTGATAACATAAGGGTGCAATTCACCTGCTGATTTCAACCAGTCAGAAGGGAGGAAGAAAAGGGTGAAGCTGAAGATACATCTGCAAGGAGGGGAGGGAACTGAGAATCTGCTCGTAATTAGGATGATATAACTGGGTATTGGACCAGCTCGTAAGTGGCCTTGGGCCAAGTGGAGTCTGCTGTGATGTATGTTGGCCACCCCAGCTCTCCTGTTCCAGTCCTGAGCTGCAGTCCAAAATCTACATGGGCTTCTCTGCCAAGAGAATTAATGAAAACACATGGCCTCCATCTCTGGCATGGTGAGCGCGCCCTGGACTATTTATTTGTAGTAGAACCAGCAGCTATGCTGGTGGAAAATAACATTTCCCCTTTTGTCAGGAATCGTGTGTGAAATAGTAAAATGTTGTTATGGCTTGGGTAATTAAACGGAGCATATTTTCCCTCCCTCTTTCCTTTCTAATGTGCAGGGCCTTAATCCCAGCCTTTATGGAGATCTGTTCCTCAACTGAAGCCTCTCTGTTTAGAGGGCTTACGATCTGTAATGCTGTGTAATTTGGAGAGGGAAGTGGCAGAACACATGGTTTACATAGGAAAGGTATTTTCCTACCAGCCTAAGTCTGCTGTGATCCCTGAGGGGTAGATGGGCTCCAGTGAGTGTGGAAGAGAAAGGCAGGCACTGATGGAGATGAGAGGACTTTGCTTCACCACCATACCCAGCCTGGCACATGGAAACTGCTTGGAGGCTGGGGTGGAGGTAGAAACAGTAGGTGGATTAATCATGGCTCTGGGTGCCAGGAGTCCCAAACTCTAATCCCAGTTTGGCAAAACACCATAAACAGGGAGTTTAACCTCCTTCTGTGTTAGTTTCTTTGCTAACTTGTCCATAAGCTCCCAGGTAGGTGCATTATGTTTGCACCCTGGTGTGGATGTAAATCAGGGCTCCTGGTGCCCCAGAGCTTCACTTGCAGATGTGTCCACGTTAGCATGTGAAAATGGACCTGCCTGGGAAGTTACAGGTAAGTGATGTCCTGGAGTCTGATGTACCATGGGCTTTATTTGTTTTCTGTTGGCTTTTGTCCCTGTAAAAAGTCCCAGTCAAAGGGAGGCTTTTGCTCAGTGGAACCTCTTCCTGAAGCAGTTTGTGCAGAGCGAAGCTGCTTCTGGGTTTCAGGTCTGTTTGTCATCATGATTATTAAGCATTTATCTACTGTGTACATAAAGGTTTACAAATCTGCTTGCAGTAGTTTGCAGGCTGGAGTTAGATTTCTGCTTCCACTGGAGCATATGGCACAGATCCCACAGTGTTCAGCAGCATCTCATCTGTTGGGGAAGACAGAGGCAGCCTTGGTTCCCGGTTTGTGTGAGAGGGGAGATGTGGCTGAGCATGTCCCCCTCATCCAGAGGCGTATTTCAGCCCCTATGGAGTGCAGCATCTCCCTCCCATATCCAGGCTCCCATTGCACCAGGGGAAAAGTCTGCTGTGGAAGGTTCTGGCCACTCAAGGCTGTTTCTGGAGCATGCAGGACATTGCCCAAGCATGGGTGGCAGCGGCTTCTAACTGCTATTAGGTACCAGCTCTATGAGCCAGGCATGGGAGCAGAGAGCACCAACTTGCTCCCCAGGGGCCCCTTCCCACTCCCTCCTGTGCCAAGCTTTATCTGGCCCAAGCTTTGCTAGTTCTGGGTGTGCTGCTCAGCTGGCACGAGCACAATGTCTTAACGTGCTCCAAATGGAGAAAATACTCTTGTGCAAGACCCGTATTTTACAACCTCCCCGCAAACCTGCAGCTCCCCGACCCTCAGTGCTTGTGCCGCAGAGCACCTTGCGACCATATGTGTTGGCACAGGCCAGGTTGGAGTGGCACAGCCTGGAGACGAGCAGTTCTGACCCACAACCAGTCCAAATGGAGCCTGTGGGTTTGGATGCTGGTGGTGGTCTTGGCAGAGCAGTTAAGCAGATAATCTTTGGGCTTTAGCAATGGGAAAAGTCCTCCATGGTCACATTGATGGCGTCGCCCTGTGTTCCACTGCAGAAGTACTCCCCGTGGGATGCAATCCAGTGATGCATTTTTCTAATGGCTGCCAAAGTGCTGTTGCTTTTTAATTACAGACAGATATCTTATAAAATTCAGCCACCAACTGGTAGGAACAGCTGCTGAAGCAGCTGCTGGGGCAGGCGAGCGTGGGGAGGAGGGTCCTGCTGGGCATCCTGCTCCTGTGCTTTGCACTGAAACTGCCCAGGGACTGCTAAAAACACCCAGGGGGTCCCGTATGTGGGACCTGGGTGGCCTGTATTTGGCTGGGCTGATGCTGGGTGCAGCTCAGCAGAGGGGAGAGCCATTGCATGAACCAGACAAGGAAGCTGTGGCCCTTCTGCTCACTACAGGGACAGCTCATATTTGCATGGAATCACAGACTGGTTTGGAAGGTTTCCTCCAGGTTTCCTGCAGCCCCTTCAGGCACTGGAGCTGCTCTAAGGTCTCCCCTTCAGGAGCCTTCCCTTCTCCAGGCTGACCCAGCCCAGCTCTCTCAGCCTGGCTCCAGAGCAGAGCTGCTCCAGCCCTCACAGCATCTCCTCTGGCCTCACTCCAGCACTTCCACATCCCTTTTGTGCTGTTGCCCCAGAGCTGGATCAGGGCTGCAGGGGGGGATCTCCTCAGAGCACAGCAGAGGGGCAGGATCCCCTCCCTGAGCTGCTGCTCATTCTCTGGGGGTGCAGCCCAGCACACGACGGGGTGGGGGTCTGGGCTCAAGCACACACTGAAGCTGGGTCACAGGGAGCTTCTCATCACCCAACACCCCAAATCCTTCTCCTCAGGGCTGCAATTCTGTAGTCTTAATTTTAAGGTAGTTGTTTTTAAGTGATGCTTTGAAGGGAATGCCTTTTATCCAAGAGTTTCTCAATGATTTGCATCCTTTGCTGCAGAACACCAGGCTAGGATGGCACACTTAGTGCCGAGACAGAGGGATAAAGGGAAAGGAAAACCAAAACCAGCTCTCAAAGCAACAAAATCTCTGTCAGCATTGGAAGTAAGACCCAGGCTTTGCTTCCCTATGCTGGAGTCATCTGTAGGTGCTCAGGATGGGTCTGTTGCCATGAAGCAGGAAAGTTTGAAGGACTTCGCTGAAGCGGCCTCTACTTCACAACTGAGTCACGTTTTAGTTCTGTGCGTAGGACGCTGCGAAGCCACAAAGGTCACTCCTTCTGATTTGTACAAATTGTCACTAATTATTCTGTGACTGTTTCTCTTAAATAGAGGCTGTCAATCAC